TGGGGATAGGTCAGAATCGACTCCATATCGCTCTTGGTAGGGGCAATGGTGGTGTTTTTATGGATTATATGGATGCCTTCACCTGTGATCTTTTTGGTGGCTGTAGTGGTAGACTGCCATGAGTCAGGCGCTCGACGTACATCACCACGATGTGACAACTCCCTTGCAGTTGAGCCTGTCTCAGCATAGCGTAGATACTGAGGATGTTGGTCCTTACCAGGACCGCATTATCCGAGACCCTTCCCTGCCGCTTCGAGTATAGTCTTCTTCGGAAGCAGGTAGGGTGACTAAAATGAATAGATAAATAGAGTAATTTTATTAAAGACCCATCTGTGTCCTTTCAAATCAACCGCCTCTTCTTTCTTTACCTACATTGATTGTTCATGTCTCAGCTATGAGGACAACAGTCATATGCTTCCTAATTTAGGTGTTGAGTAGGATGCACAGCGGTTCTAGTTGGAGTGCTTGAGCCCGACTTCATATCTCGTGAAAGTGCACTTCCATTTCACGCGACTTTGCCTACTGTTGTGAGGTACGTTCCACTGATTCTGATGCAAATTTCAGTGTATTTTCTGTCGGTCGATGCCTTACCATTTCCTTCTCCCTGTTGAGTTTCGGATGGAAGGTGGAGCAGGACGGGGCGAATAGATCCAAACTCCTCTACCTGTTCTCTCCAAGTTTGGCTCACCACTATTGACACCAGGAACGGTGACCATCCGCACACTGTTTTCGCAGCTAACGACTGTGCCTAGACAAAGTCTTACTGCCGATTATGGAGCTGGGAGGTCACTGTGTTAGTTGGCTGACTAAGGACCAGAAAGCCATGACTCCAGCAGTTCGCGGTTCACGCGGTTGTCACCTTTAGCAAGAATTTCTGTTTTATCAAACTTGAATGTTTGGTTGGGTCCCGTCAAATGGGCCGCGACTTGGGAGCTGGGGTCTTTTTTCCTCACCGCTGCTGCGTGCTCAACCATTCGCTTCCGCAGTTGTCTTCCGGTTTCCCCAACATAGTTGCTTTGCCCACAGCTGAACCGGACAAGATAAACAACTCCAGATGTTTCTTGCCGTGACAATGTGTCTTTCGGTCGCATGGCCTGACGCCTGGTTGCCTCCTGTCTGTGTGCTGGTCCAATTCCAAAGCGTGTGAGAAAGGCGGCAGTTGGCTTCTGAGACATTCTTCACGAACGGAGGGCTCGTCAAAATTTGGGACCGGTTAATTTTCGTCTCTCGTCTTGATTGCTCAGACACTGGTTGACGAAGGTGCGTGGGTAGGCATTGGTTTTGAATATCGATCGGGGGTATTGTAATTCAGCAACCTTGTCTCCGGCACATTGCAGTGTGTCTCTACACGTCGGTAGTGTCCTTGCGCAACTGCGTTTGTGACTCAGTGGGTGGTTGCTGTTGTAATTCAGTACTTGCGTCGCGTTTTCACCTTCCTGAATACTTTGGTTTTCAGGTCAAAGCAATCTTTACGGTAGACGAGAATATTAAGAAAGGCCAACTGGTTGTTTTCCTCCTCCTCCATCGTAAATTGAATGTCTGGGAAGATGGCGTAGAAATGTTGTTTGAATTCCGTCACGTGTTCCTGTTCGATGACGACGAAGGTATCAGTCGCATACCCAGTCCCGAATTTCGGTCTGTGTTGTTGGAAAACCTGCGATTCCAACCGCTGTGGGAACGCATCGGCTATGAGTTCCGAGATCGGCGAACCCATTGGCATGCCCATCACCTGTTCGTAGATAGTTCCGTCGAACGCAAAGTACGTCTTGAGACAGAACTGCAGAAGTTGTAGGATTTGGGCGAGTGTTGGGCGATTCTTAGTTTCGTCATATTTGCCTCGTAGGAGTAGTTCGATGGTCTCGTCTGTCTGGTCCAACGGAATATAAGGATAAAGGGACGTGGCATCAAAGGATGCCATGATGTCGCTTGGCAGAAGCAGTCCGTAAGTTGGAGTACTTTTGAGTGAGACGATGGGTCAGAGGGGGAGACCTTCTTTGTGCACCTTGGGAAGGACATAGAAGGGGGTCAAGGCCGTATCCTGGGCTCTCAGTATGCGCTGGTCAGCCGATGATATTGCGCCCGAGTTTTCCAGTACAACAGCGTCGCAATGATTTCTCGTGTCGTTGTTTTTACCTGGTTGGTTGCGCAATGGGCATAGGACCGTCGGTCCTATCCAAACCATGTCGATCATCCAAACCATGCTGTTCCTCCATAACTGCCCCTTAAGGTCTCTTGTTGGCCAAGCAGGCGAAAACTTGTTTTTACTACCTCAACTCTATAGCAGGACTAAAGAAAAATCTGTGACAAGTACGAATGGTCTCAAGCTAAGTAATCGGCTATGGTTTGACCTCATGCAATTCTGTTGGCATAACATGCCAGTAAGCTAACTTGTTTGCCAAAGAACATTACCCCTCTCATCTTTGAGTGCCGGATTATCTCAATCACCTTATGAACATTGTGTTTGCCAACTCGACAAATGCTAAAATTTTTGTTGAGGCGCTGTGCATTTTGCACCAATTGGTTGGTGTTAAGGTTTAATTGCCCATCTTGTTGGTTGTCCACGCTGGCCACGATAACCGATCGCAGCATAATGTGAGTGGGTTATTTTTTACGTTTATAATTACTCTGTATCTTTGCGCATTATTCCTTGATTTTTGTTTTATCTCTAGATCATATTTTATCCATTGTTGCATTTTTCCTACCACTGACGTGGTTAAACCATAAGGAAAGCAAACTTTACGAGAAGCGTCCAGAAACGCCACTTGCAGCATCAAAATCCGTGCGTACAAATCAGCTTGATCGGAGCTCAACCTGACGATTTTTCAATCAAAGACCGAATTCGGCACGTCCATCTGCCTCCTTGTCATGTGCATGACGATTATACGACTATAATCCCTTCTCACGTAACTGCGTCTCTTTACAGATACGTTGTGAATTCACAACGATAACCGTTAAGGCAAAAGAATATGGAGGTCGGGATCAAGAGGATAGAAGATTCAGGCCGAATAACGGGTGTTCGTAGGTTAATTAATTATAGCTAATGGACGTATTGATAACCAATATGCATTTGCTTAGATCACTTGAAATGTGACCGATGCATCATCTAGTATTCAGTTTTAGCTAGGAATATCATTCCACTGGTGGTATCTTTTATCTTGAAGTTGTGCCTCAGTACATTCTTAAGACAGTTCTGTTATGGAGTAGAGGGTTGTGGCCGTCCACACGTGTCGGTTTACTCAGGGGCTTGGGGAGGGAGGAGGGGAGGGATCTAACAGTGAACTGCGCTTAAATTTCGTCGCTGTAGATCGACGTAGTAGGATGAAGTTAATAAGATTCTGGGGTCATTTTGTCCCAGGGTAAATTGGGGGGTTGTGTAAATGTCTTCTGCGAGGGCAAGGCAAGGTTGGCTAACTGTATGGACATTGCCTCTGACTCTGCAAAAACTCGCTGGTGCAGGAGCTGTCTCATGGGCACTTCATACACGACTCTGAATGCTTGGGTGACGTCTTCCCGGTGGCCACTGTCAACCAAGTGAGCCAACATTGCACAAGAGATGGACTTTTCCATGCCTTGATTTAGCCAAACAGGATAGCGCTCTTATATTCGCTGGGTAGGCGCCCAGTTGTTCGACCAATATACCCTGCCTCACAGGAATAAGTGAGGCGTAAACGCACACTGAAGAACTCTGAAAAGATAGCCTACCCGTTATTTCAAGGAGAAGAGGCGGGGTGCTTGAGATGAGTCTTAACTGACAAATATGTACACGCGGATGATCGCAGTATTTAAGCGACGATTTAGAAGTTCGCCTGCAGGTTCTTCTCGAAATGGCAATGTGAGAAATAGTTACTTATCCTTTGCCGCTGACACGGCTGTTTTCCAGGGACGTTGCTTAATATATTTTGGAACAAATGTACCGGGAAGGTTATTTTCCTGCAGCAAGTTTTGTGTGAAGGCGATTTCGACGATACCCACTGTGTGCTACACACCAAGTTGCAACAGCCGCGATGATTTACGTGTGAATTAGTTTATAGTGATAGTAGACTTTCGCAGCATTTACCGCACCTCTTCTTCCCCACTCCCCACCTAGACCAGGTACCAAGACAGTCAAGAATGCCGCAGATGGGGGATGGCGCAGGTGGCTGGCACGACCAGGCCCGCACCCAGGCGTGCCACCACGCTAGTCTACAACATACACTTGACCAGGAATTTTCCCCGACAAAAATAACACACCAAAAGGCGTCAGGAATATGATGATGACTGCGCAGCCATGTTTACCACCTGTATACCCAGCGGGGGCACAAGCACATCTACTGGCAAGAAACCAGGTGTCAGCGCATACCAGGCTGCGAGGGCTATGGTTTGCTGATACTGGCATAGCACACGCTTTTAGGCCTTTTGACCATAAAGAAAGCTAGTGATAATTTCACGGATAGAGACGAATAGTTCAATTCCGGATGTGTATCCGGGTAAAGAAGCAGCTGATTGATCATTGAAACCGTCTTCTCTAGTGAATTTCCAAACTCATGCATGGGCACATTATACGATATGACTGTGACAGAAAAGCAAGTGACGGTTGTAGACTCAACGGTTATTACTGCAGGTCTGGAGATGACTGCAATGGAATTTATATACGAAGTCACAAACAGTATTTTAATTGATTAAGTTCTTATCAGAGACCCGATTTGAATATTTTTTTGGTATCAGCAAGTATGACGACGGTTATGCAGCTAAGCTGGCCATTCTTTTCGAATGGGACAACCTTTTGCTATAATGTGCGTTCATATATCTTTACTTATCATTCCTTCGTCTAACACAAGTAAAGGCGGAACATATATGCGGTGGGAGTCATCCACACGTTCTTTCTCTGTTACACTATGATGCACTATTTTGTAAATATGCTCCCGTTTAGCCTTACATCGTCTGCGGTCGCTGTACGCCTTAGGATATTCAAATTGATGCATGAACGCCTTAGGCGACACGTCCATGTTCTGGCAATGAATCACTCGGCCCTACTTACCGAGACGCAGACTGCTGAGTTGCATTTACGGTAAATCCTCAGCAGGTAGTTCTAAGAGAGTGTGCAATTCTAACAGCTTATCTTGCCCACAGCGGATTCTCACCACGAAAACCTTCGTCGTAAACAACTGCATTATCCAGTATAGGCTGAGCTAAAATTACTGCCAGGTCTTAATAGGTGTTATGGCAGATTTGAAATAACTCACTTTGACACAACTGTGAGAAAATCAGAACCTCTGTGGGATTCGAACACACGACAGCAAAGGGAGGCTTAAGTACAGCCAACGCTCTAGCCATCTGAGCTACGATGCCTCACCGGACGACGCGAATGGGCGTGCCAGTGATCGCCAACATAGCAACCAGCTCGTCTTCCCACAAACGTGGGACCCCAGTGAGTAAAACGCGCTTAGATTAATAAGGTAGGCCTGAATTGACATGTCAACTAGTACTTACAGGCATGACATCTGTTGCTGCAGGTGGTTCGTCAACCAGGACCCGTGACCCTGACGACAGGTCTAAGCCAAGCAACCTCATTATTTTTAAAAGCCCAAGCGGATGATTATGGGGCGTTTATGAACATAACGCCCACTTTCAGGAATCGCGCGTTGGAATGGCAGACAAGCATCTGCGGTAGACGACAGGGTAGTTCTTAGCATACTGAGCCAGCGAAAACAACACTGAAGACATCGTGCCTTCCTTCGACGTCTCTGTGTAGAATAACTACAGTTCGAAGGCAGACGGTGGCATTGCCGCGCTCCACTAAACCAGCGCAGACAAATGCACGCGCACGCCGTGGCGAAGCAGGAAATGGCGCCAGGCAGTGCATACGCAGCAGTACATGCCTCCGTGGGATCCGAACCAGGTGTTACGACACACCAAGTTGGGGATTCGGCCGTGCCACCCACCCTTTTATTTTTGGTCAAAAATCTGGTCATTTGCTGTGTGGAGTGGAACCCAGGGTGTCGGCTCGACTGTGCCATCCACCTGTGTTCTCCCCGCCTCCAGTCTTCTTCACTCTGTCTTGACACCTGGGCCAGGTGGGGATTGGGGAAGAGGGAGTGCGGTAGATGCTGTGCAAGTCTACATTCCCTATAAACTAATTCACGCACAATTCACCGTCCTTGCTCCACCTTGCTGTGGGGAACACGGTGAGCATCGTCCACAACGCCGGCCGAACTATCGTACCATGCTTGTGCAAACAGTATAGGCACAGGTCCGGCTGCCAAATACCTACCCTTTCACCTCTATCGAAATGTAAAACTTTAACTGCGACTAGAAATAAGTTGCTTTCTGAACTGTGTGACCTCTTTTTGCCGATTGAGACTCGCACACTTCCTTGCACAAAATACTTCGATGATTATATCTCAAACTGAATTGCTTTAGGCATCTGTGGATTTATGTAGCCCGATGTGTTTACCATCTCTTACTGTTCAGGAGTATTCACTAATTCGTCATTTAAGGGGTAGCCATCCGCGGAGAAAGAGACACGATAGCTGGAACAAGTGCATTATTAGCCTGACGCTTCGGATTCTCACTTGAATCCATTATCAGAGACAGTCAGATAACGGTAGAGGATTGCCCGATGTTGCAACAGTTATAGGATGTAGTTCCTAGACTACTACATGCCTACCACGGTTGACAGCTCCCGAGTGCATCATAGCTCGACTGGTAGGGTGTTGAAGTAGCCATCGCCATTCAGTTGTTATGCTCCTGTATGCCGGTCAAGATTATCGGCTCCCACGCTCATCGTACGGCGCTGAGTGACAAAGGAGTTAGCCTCGAGGAGAACGTGTGGATACCCACTGTCCACAGTATCAATGTCGGCTAGCCAAATCACCCAAGCGTCCACATGGATGACGAAATCCAGTAGTCAGCCCCTCGGCGGCGTGCGATGAGCGTGAGAGCCGATAATTTTGACCGGCATACAGACGCATTACAACTGAATGGCGATGGCATACTTCAACACCTGACCAGTCGAGCTGTGATGCAATCGAGAGCTGCCAACCGTGGTAGACATGTAGCGGCCTTGCAGCATCTGGACAATCCTCTACCCTTATCTGACTCTGTCTCTGATGATAGATTCGAGTGAGAATCCGAAACGTCAGGCTAATAAAACACTTGTTCCAGCGATCGTGTCTCCTTCTCGACTACTTCCTAGATTTCGCCCCTTCACTTCTATTAGCAACCTTTAGCCTATACCGCTTTTTCAGAAATGTGCTAGTTTCCCCACACCTTAAAGTATGTTCATTGAATATGCACCCGTTTCCAACAAAAAAGATACATCAACTTCACCGTGCTCTCGCTTCTGCGCCTTAAGACCATGCCGTTAAAAACCACTTCTATGGCCGGGGACAACCGCAACTGAGGCTGGCTCGGCCTCATTCCGCAAACGTTCATTAGCATACAGAATGAAGCGGAGCTTAGGAGTAATCGAGGACTATGAGAGCCAATTCATCCATTTTTAAACATCGTTGTACATACTTTGTTGATTCTTTAATGAGCTTGCTCTCCGAAAAAGAAGCCTGCAACATGTACAACTTTTAATTTATGCTTATAGAAAAACAGGATTTGAGTTGTAGTCACGATCTCCACTGCCTGCTGCGCAACGGACCCGTGCAAGGTGGGCGTTCGAATTTCCGTTCATTTTGGTAAATAAAAATAATCTCATTTCAACTGATCTAGTTGTAAAAAAGCTAGGACTTAGAGGCATTAGAGTTCTCGACAGCAGGGACAAGTCTGGAGCACAGCCAACGTTCTAACCATTTGAGCTACGAGGCCGTTTTCCTTGTATAAAGTCTGCCAGGTGGCCGGACATTTTATTTGCGTTGGTTCTCAGATATGCCCAAGTGTCAAGTATGCAAACCGCGTTGGCGGAGTTTTCACCAGCCCCTACTACCAGGCAGAACCAACTGGCTCTCTTTACAGCGCTTTCATCTACCTGCTGATTTCCGTTTTTGCAAGGCCTTTTGTCCTTGTGATGTGACAAAGATCAGGTTTTGCAATCACTGTAGCCGCATTGATGGACCTCGAAGCACCTGACTGCCCGTGAATTTATCCCTATTTAAACAAAGGAAATGGGCCGATTGTTCTAGCTAGGACCGTTGTAAGCACACGAGATGGAGATGACGAACAAATACGGATGCAAGAGTCCGAACGAGAATACCCCCATAACAGGGCTTTATTCATCCTACAATGACGTACTGGAACTAAAACGAGAAATAGAAAAGTAGTAGATACGATGGAATTTAGCCCTGGGGTTTATGTTAGCATGACATCGAACCTTTAGACAACGTTTCTAACTCGATTTTACATTTTGAGAAACACTATTTTCAGCTTGTTTTAGGCACCAGTTAACCGTATCTCCTTCCCCGATTATCAGTTTATGCTATATCTGCTATATCTCGGTAGAATATGCGTCATTGTTATCTGTATACACAACAATCTTACCAATGCAATGCCTCGTCAACTGCATTCGTAACCGCGATTCCAACATTTTAGATCAACGACTAAGCCTGCTGCACCGTCAGTTGCACACAGCTAATATGGCAGGTTTCAGCAGACATTTTAGGTGTGCAAAAACGAATCATGAGTAAATGGATAAATAAGATGGCAGAATATCAGCGATGAGGTCATCTTAATGTTCTTTAGTTATGACATGATATTAAAGCGTCTTTCTGATTGCAAAGCAGACTTTTTGGCGTTTTAAATTACTGCATAGTAAGGAGCCGACTTCAGTATTTTCTTGTGACCCTGAAAGGTAGCAGGGAGATCAGATTTCAGCGCGTCTTTTTGAGTATGCATATCGCTTTCTTCTTTGGTAGTCCCCATAGTATACAGTTCACGTACGCATCACCCTGAAGAGTAGGTAAGAGGGAGTTACGCCAGGTTCGGATTTGGGCAAAACTGACTCATCGCAAATCACCTGACGCGCTTTAGACGGCTGACCACGGAATGATTCGTTTATCTTACTCAGGCTGAAGGCCAGACTCCACTGATTCCTTTGTACTGCAGCCCTTAGAGCAGTTTTTCCGGAATTCTGCCATGTATATGTAGGCATGAATGCATGTTTCGCACACGAAGACGACATTCATCTGCTTCAATTATTGCTTCCGGGCGCACACTTTCAGTCCTACTTATTTTGTCTCTTCATTGGAGTGCGTTTAGTGTTAGAAACGAGAGTCTTGCAGTCACTGCAAAAGTCTCCTATTCCTCAGTCCACTTCAGGTGCAAATCACCGTTGCAACTCCGAGACAGCGCTGGTTACAGTCACAGTGCACACGTATCAGACAGCTTAACTACCTGCAATTGGGAAAACAAGCATTGTCATTGCTTGATCAGCGGCAAGGCTGTTGCACAAAATTCGGTTTGAAATGCACTATCCAGGCTCCCGTCAGTGTACTTGTGGGGGTTTTTCGGTCTCATGGGCTATTTATGAATCTCTGTTCCTTGATACTGCTAAGACTAGAATAATGGTAGGGGGCGCTCACCGATCGTTCATACGGAACTCACTCGTTCCGTTGTGCCTTAAGGGCTCTTTCTCGAGCCCAACCAGCAGCCGCACAGCGGCGCATGATAAATAGGCAGAATGGCATTACCGACAAAGATAAGGTAGACTAGAATGGTCATTTCTGGCTTGTTAGCCGTCGTCAGCCAGTCATACCCAACCCCGAAGTGGGGAACACCCGAGGCTCGAACTCGCGGCCTGTCAGTTAGAAGTCCACGCCTCTAGTCACCGGGCCACGAGCGCGTTGACCTGTCGGTTTCGATCGGGAAGGGTGTTCCACACTTCGGGGTTAGGTATGACCTGCTTACGACGACAACTAAGCCAGAAATGGCCATTTCAGTCTCCCTTGTCTTTGTCGGTATTAACATTCTGTCTATATCATGCATCGCTGTGCAGCTGCTGGTTGGGCTCGAGAGGGAGTTCGTAAGGCACAACGGAACGAATGAGTTCCGCAAGAACGATCGGTGAGCACCCATTTCCCGATCGAAACCGACAGGGCAAAGGACTCGTGGCCCAGTGGTTAGAGGCGTGGACTTTTAACTAACAGGTCGCGAGTTCGAGCCTCGGGTGTTCCACACTTCGAGGTTGGGTATGACTGGCTGACGACGGCTAATAAGCTAGAAATGGCCATTCCAGTCTCCCTCGTCTTTGTCGGTAATAACATTCTACTTTTGAATAGGTTACCACCAAAAACCTGCGATTCCTTCCGAAAAGTAGCTCATTGGGACAGCACGTGTCAGTTATTGTTCCAAGTTGTTTCTCGACCCTTCATAACTTGGCTTAAGACGACTACTTTTAGTACATGCCTATCGCAGGTATAATTTCTTTTTTTACTCGCACGACAAAGTTGTTGCGTCGTTGTGTCGTCGTTTGGTACACTTTACCTTTACTGGCCACCTTGGCGGCTTCCCTGTGTTTCGCTGTTCTGCGTCATTATGTCGTGCCGTTGGGTCAGCGTTCCCACTTTATTCTTATGGGGTCCGCCAACGTCATTCGTTCTTGGCTTTCTATCGGTCATTTTGCTGTCTTAATTTCTGAACTTGTCATCTTATTGTGTAGGTACTATATTTGACTGCCTTTGATTTTTTGGTGTTAAATTTCGTTAGTATTCAATTTTCCGGGGCATCATTTGATCCTATTCACGGCATTAGAACATTTTTTTACAAAACTTCATCCTTTTATACCGCTCTCTTTCCCATTTATTAGCTCCAGCCATATAACCCTTAATTTCACCTGTTCCGTAAGACACGATGACCTATTCTCTGCATTCTAGATGGGGCCGCATATTGCGTCAGTGCTCCAAGACCGCGGGAGCAGTTTATTCCGTGATCGTCACCCGCCTATTCGCTTTACTCGCTCTTGTCCTCCATACGTTAGGGTGTAGATCCGGCAACATTTAGGCATTCTATGCATACCTATGTAAGACACCTCGCAAAGCCCTGTCGCTCCTGCATGAACTCGATGGCTAACAAAATGAGATTTTTCTGTCGTACGGCTTAGGCAGTAGTACATGGATTTGGGGAAAGCACGAGTCTTGATAGTTAACTAGTTATTTACCCATTAATCTTTCACGCCGTCGTTACGTCTTGCCGGCAGTCTCGGGTGCCATTTTAATGAATCGATTTCTTGAACTCATCATTTGTGTGGTGTTTCTATGGGAGGGTATTTTTACTTCCTTTTCACGACGTTTTATGATGATAAATGATAAGGACTTGTCCAGGTTCCATCATTGCAATCTGTTTGAGCCTCCCGAAAGGAGAACGTATTCTTTATTTATGTAAACTCCATCATTTATGCCAACTTTTGGAGCCATTTTTATATCATCTCTCATGACCCTCGACCACTCATGACCACGGATCTCATCACCGTCTGTGGGGACACAGATACGTCGCTGCCGTATCTGATGCTTTGCGTAATGTGTTTTCTAACTTAACTTCTTAACTGCAATCAACAGAAACTCGTTGATTGCATTTCATAGGAGTCAATGTTACTCCCATTCGGCACTCTGCCAACGCTTAAAATTTCAGATCCATTTCTTCGCTACAGACGTCACAAAGGTGCTTAAATGCGCAAAACCGTATGCAGTCTGACGTTGATTTAAATTTTTCACACATCTTTAAAAGCATGCATTGTCCCCCCCCCCTCAAGCATGCGCCTCCCTTGCACTTTGTGGCTGGTATCGCCCGCAGATGCATCCAGCATTCTGATTGGGCAGATACATGCCAAGCAGTCTCTAATAGGCCTGACTAGATTATTCTTCAGGCGCTGGTCCTAACCGCTGACAAGCGCGTTCTTTTCTTCCAGACATGCGGTCTGCCACTGCAACATTCATTACGTGTGCGTCGGGTGGAGGAGTTGCGTCTGCGGTCCTATCTGGTGTTCCCCTTCTAGTTGACTATTCTGCCTAACCCATGGCCGTTCACGCAAGGCTGAAGGTCTGTCCTGTGTTGCCTTTGTTAAATTTTCTTTTACGTCTGTCAAACCAGTTCCTTCCCGCCAGTTGTCCCTCTGATTTGCCGTTACGATTTTTATTACTCAGAGAAATGTGATTGCATCTCTTGCGTATATATAATACTCTTTGATATTTATGGTATCATGCTGTCGGGAACTTCATGGTAGACAGTAATTCCGCGCCCTAGCTGTGATGTTTTTCTGTATAAGTTACAGCAAACTTTGTCCTATATTGGGTTAAAATAGAGTTGACCCGATCAAAAATCAATCGCTTTACGAAATGCTGATCTGTATTTTTTTCGGACTGAAATTTTGCGTGAGTTTTCTGCATTTTACAAACTTCATATGAAGCCAGCAGTAAGAAAGGTTTCCAGCAAATGTTTGACCTGCAGCTCAAACTGCACTTCGCGAGTTGTTCAGTCTACTGCCCTGCTGTGGATAGTCCTTACAAGGACAAACGATTCTGAAGTATTCTTTTTTGTGGTGAGGTCAGTTTTGATACCTTAATTAACAGTACTAACGATGGGAATTAAACTTCATCCTTCAAAGCAGTTCGCCTGGTTCTTGTAACCTTTTCTGACTTACATTGGTCATCTGTATCAATTATTTTCTGAGGCTATGCCTTATCAAGTCTCGAAGGGTATCCGTTTGGTACGTTCTGATCTGTTTTAAACAGCCTATTGACCAATATTTGCTATTATAAAGGCATGTACACGTTTTGGCGTGAGAAGAATCCCCACGAGCTGAGTGACGTCTGTATGGGCAAACGTTTAAGGCTACTAAATGCCCCTCGGCTGCAAATACTGCTCATATCTCTTCTATTCAAGCGGCCTCCTTACAGGTGTTTATTCCCGACCTACGTTGCCCAGAACAACGTGTCCGACCAACGTTTGCTTGAAGTTGTGCGAATTTACCATTTCTGCCTGACTGACACTTCTGTGTCGGTTGTCCTAGCTATTAACGCATACTTTCCCAGATTTTTATCCAAATATTCATGGGTTACACCCCAACGGTGTGATGAATGCCTGTTTGGCCAAACTTCACATCCGTGCATAAAAGTGGAGCAGAAAGAGTAACCTACGACATGTCTTGCATAGCCACATACTTTTGCAAAAAGGGGTCACATCTTCTGCGATAGGATGAATGCCTTTTTGACTAAACTTCACATAGGCAGAATGTTATTACCGACAAAAAACAAGGGATACTGATCTCCCTTGTCTTTGTCAGTAATAACATTCTGCCTTTAACATGCGCTGCTGCGCGTCTGCTCGTAAGGCACAACGGGACGAGTGAGTTCCGTAAGAATGATCGGTGAGCGCCCCTCTACCATTGAACTTCACATCCATGCATAAAAGTGGCGTAAAGAAGAGCTAATGACACGTTTTGCATTGCCACATCCTTTTGCCAACGGGGGCCTGAGTGTCATTCACTGAACATCACCATTTTTAGGCACTTTACGGTTGACGAAGAAATAAAAGTCCGGATTATCAAAGTCAGTTGGGCGTCTCCAACATGCTCCAGTCTTTAATCAAGTCTCACCAACAAATCTAGCCCAACGCTAGGCCGACGATTTAAAAAAACCGGCCGCACTGGCAAAGCCACTCTAATGCGCTGAAATCTGAAGTCTCAATCAGAACCGACTGAGGATATTCTGCTACTTTCATCTCAGTTGCCTTCAGAGGGTTATGATTGTGAATTGGCAGAGATTGCTCCCTGATTCCCCGATCCTGGAATCCATTCGCATGTTCAGTTGCCAACCGTCAGAAGGATTGATGAGCACTTACCACAGCGACCTTTTTACGTCGACGTTGCCCCACGTACTCACTGAACGAATTTTTCAGTGTTTCGGAATAAATCCGAAGTCCTGGGAGACTCCTGCAGGTAATCGGCAGATATGAAGATCCGCCTGCTAATGACTGGAGCTGCAGCCTTTTAGGCCAGCCAGATTCCAGAGGCCAAGAGAACTCTCAATTAGGTAATGCCAGAATGCGATGTACAACGCTGCCAGCATTCACTGTTTTCATACTGCAAATACGCTTTCGGGTTCCGCAATGGTCCTATGTGCCACCTTCGTTTCTATTGCCTCAGCAACCGCAGAAACAACTCTCTAATCTCTTCCACTTTTATCATTTATTTCGGGCCTTGGGGAATCCCTTTGACTACGAGCCTAAAAGACAAAACCTCGCACCACCTCGAACGCCATGCGACCTAACAAACATGATCCGCGTCTATTATTAGGGGAATCTCGTAGCATAATGGAAAAGATGTCGCTTGTCTCGCCAGAATCGTCGGATTCGAGGCACTGGCCTGTTGATTTTTACCCGGTGATGTCTGCTAGGCAGACTTGGAGCTAAAAGGTTGGCATTATTTTGGCTGATTCAGTCTCAAGCGTTGCCCTTCCATAAACGTTATCGGAAGTCTTGTCGGATGTGAAATCGAACAAAAAGGTGTTTGTCGAAAGCTTTTTAAACCACCTCGACTCCCGCACCCACAAGATCATTGCTAAAAACTTAAAGCATCAGGAAGGAGATGATCTGTTCTACTAAGCTGCCTTCACACTTACCGTTGCATTGTGATTTACGTAGACTTTGAAGGTCTCGGTCCATCATAACAATAGTTAAACCTAATTATTAGTGGATAGCTATTGTATATGCCTTATGGCAAGATCAATACCCGCTACCACTAAGGCAAACTGCAGTTCACCGAAAATAATCCAAAACAACCCTTAGGTCACATTTGTCGGATTTATGGTAGGTGCGTTTAGAAAATTTATCGACCAATCGGCGCCCTTCAAAAGTCAAACTTGGACCGTCTAGACGTGTACTTTGACCAGTATAATCTGAGCTACTGCACGCAGACAGAAATTTATGTGACATTCTGGCGAAAATTTGGCAGCTGTGCAAAGTCGACTGGCATGGGGTCTCCCGTGACCTCCCATTGAAGTTTGACGCGTAAATTTAACACGTGCTGTTGCAAGAGCGCGCAAGGTCATGCCTACTCTTGACTTCTCTCATTTACAGTTTGCTGAACTGTTTACAGCAACTGTTCACCCAAGTTGAAGCATGCTTTCACTAAACTTTAAACGTTTTATTGATTTTAATTGTTGTTGAGGCAACTTGGACTGTAAGCGTGAACTAGGTCGGTAGCGTAGAATCCAGATAATTAAGTATACTTGCGCCGCTCAGTTTTTTCACGAACTGAATTACCATTTTTAGTTTAAACATTTTGACGTAATGTCACTGGGGTCGATTTGAAAAGTTTACTATCACGGAACAGCCTCCCCAAGCCAACTGATTTCGCTTGGATGCCTTCTCAACTGCCATCGTGGCGGAACTCACTGTATTCTGGTCACTTGCAAAAGCTAGCTTTTTTCCTGAAATATTTTCTATTAAAGGAATTAGCTTGTGTGTATTCTCTCCCCCCTGATTTTCGATGCCCTTATAAATTCAAATGCGCCAAAATATTCTCTTACACTCATCTGGTAGCAAATCACGCTTTTTGAGATTTCATTACTTGAAGAACGGATACAACAGGTTTTAAAACCTGTCTCAATTACGGTGTAGTTCCGGACTTGACATGCAGCTTTATTCGCACTTAGAGTTTCCGAACGACATTTTGTATACTCTCCGCGTGAAGGAAATTCGCATTCTTCTGCATTATTAAAAATATTTTATATAGTGACCATAAGATTTTACAATGACTGGAAGCCATATTGTATGCTATCTAAGCAGCATTGACAAACGGGCAGATGCGAGTGTGTGTGAATAGACATTTTGCGGACAAAAAGTATCATAACTGCAAACTTTGTTCAAGTAAAAAATATGAAGATGTCATCTGCTACCGAATGATTACAGGCTCAAATATTTTTATGAATGTTCTGTATAAATGCATCTCTTTCTGGTCGCCTGCCAAAATCGGACTCGACAAGAAATGACTGTTTAAGTAGCATAAATTTTCTCCATCAAATTTCGATGCCATTGCAAACGCAAATATATTTTGTAAAAACCTCCATGAAAGTTTTATTTGTCGTATTCATCTGACAGCAAATTATGGCGTCTTTAAATTTTTTGCCCGAAGAAGGAGTATATCTTGGTTTTTTTAGAAGCTTATCTATTCCCGAATGTCGGTCTACCGTTATATTTTTGCTTCGGGTTTTCAGTCTCCAGGCTGTATACTTTTCGTGTAAACTGAAACATACGTTCTTTTATGCCATTAAGGCAATACCATATGGGACTCATTAAATGTTGCTGCGAACGTGGACTATGTTAAATAAATAACGAGAGTATTCCTAAACAGACAGATACGATAGCGGTCTTAAGAAATCCCGTAATTAGAAACTTTTAGAAACCGATACATATCCTTTCTTCCAAAGTAAAATTTGAATAAGACGTGATTTTCTGCCAACCGCGCACAAGAAATGGGGCTGTTGTGCATGTTTTCTGCAAAATATTTTTGAATTTATAAGGATCATTGTAAATCATCGGAGAAAACACACACTAATTAAGTAGCCATTCTCTCTCGAGTTCGGTTTTTAGGCGGCTGAGAAAAAGGCCAACATCCTGTTATGTCTGGAATATCACGGGCTTCTGCCACAAGATAGTAAATATAACAACCCCATCCTCCTAGTCGAAACGCATTTCAGAATTTCAGTTGACACATCGTGAGATCGGCTGCTGACTGTATTTGAGATCCAAGCCGCCCTCCCAAAAGCCTGGTACACGTGTAGTGGTGATCAAGTCATGCGTGGGGCACGCGCAGACAGGCCGTTTGAATTTGTCCGGCTCCAACCTCGGGGCACCCACCATCAGAGAAAGGTGTTGGCGGTGGAAAGAAACCTCTTGGTTGATGCGACAAGTCTGCCCGACCGAGCCTATCGCGTGTGACATGTAGTGGACGTCGTCGTTTGCGACGGTCGAACGAGCACAGAAGGGAATCAGGGGAGACCAAGTTGACTTTCGCCCATCCTAACGCCTTTCGTTACTAATTATTTGAATGATATGCGATTAAGCATGACTTATAAGAGCAGAAATTCGTAAGCATCATTCCCGCGCAGCGTTATCTTTCAGTCGCTCCAAGCAGGCAGTCCGCGCATTTCTATGAAAATCGCCCTACTGCAGTGGTTGGTGAATAGGGCTCCTTTAAAAAACGAATGTGTTTTTTGCCTTTGTTGGTTTTCAATCCCGATCTTTAACTTGCTTTCACGAAGTTGCTTGTCTGGAAAACTTGTATTCCAGTCATTGGTTTGAATTGTCAATGTCTTTTCCATGTATTGTCGATGATGAATAGGTCATTTGGAAGTCGGCTGGCGCAAAGCCGGAATATATTCACGCCCCTCAAATCCATGCTTAGATGGTCGCTACCTCAGGCAGGCGTCACTGTTGTGTTGCCAGCCTCGAAAAGGTTGCTTTCGACAGTATGTTCACCATATTAATTTGCTAAGGGCACAGTAATTCAGTCGACGTTTGGCTATCTATCCCGAAAATGGTCGAATTGAGAGTATGCTTACCTCGTTTGTTTGCTTGGTGCCAGTGTACAACGTAAAACCGCAGGAAAACAAAACATGGGAGAGGTCAAAGGCACAAACATGCGCTTTTACACGATCCAAACAGGCTCTAACAGATGGTTCATAAGCACTTCGTCGAACCGCAACCTGTCACTACTGTTGTCGTCTATCTGGTATTTATTCAATCAGAAGTGGACGCATTCCTCTGCCATTATAACTTGGTCGACGTTTGCCTGGTATCTGGCTGCCTTTCCGATACCTTTGCCAATCATATTTAGTTTGTTTACTTTGGGAGACCAGTAGATCAGTGTGTGCCTATTCCTACTTCAATAGCAGGCATTACGCAAGCAATGTCAAATACTTAAAAGATCCAGGGCCTGGTGAGAAATGCACAGTTTGTAAGTATGAGCGTTAAGAAAGAAGTGTATTATTGGGGCATTGGTTTTGATGGTACTCCGTTCTCTTAGACATCATGCACGGCATTTGACAGTGGCGTTGGATTGATGTTGGGGTTGCCGCGTTCACGGATACCATTTAGTCTCAAGGTTAATTTCAGGGAGTGGAGGAGGCTGTTGGTGGCTAGCAACCCCGTTTAAGAGATCTCGTCTGCAACAATGCCTCTAAAACTCATCCATATTATCTGCGCAGAGAAGCCTATTCAACGTCTACCGAGAGATTGCCGTCTGTCAAAGATTCTTTTTCTGAAGGACCGGTTACCAGAGCTTTTAACAAATATCTGGAGTTTAAAGCAGGCATAGACAGCAGAATTTATTGGTACCAGTAAATTTCGTGACGACTTATCAACTGCAGCCTGACGTTGCATAACAGAGATAACAAGTGAGAAAGATAGATAGGTTTGAACTTTGATAGAGAAAATCAATATAAACAGCAAGGTCATCGTATACTGCACGTAGACTAATCGATAATATGGTAACATCAAAACGCAATATAGGAAAGAAAATGGGGAAGTCCAGGTAGCGCAATAACCGAGTAGTTCGTGCTCGAACTAATACTCGAAAGGACGTTTTGGGGTCAACCGAATGGCCACTATCAAGATGTTTTGTAATGGAAGACCGTGGAATATTATTCTCCTGATTTAGAAGCCATTTAGGTAGGTAGCAATAAATTCTGCTGTCCATGCTTGCTTTAAATTCATTCCGAGGAAATATTGTTTCAAATATCTGGCGATCAAAAACCTACCCATAGGATGGCTATGCTCATGGGCAGTGCTAAGTAAGTATGTAGGGGTTTCCTGTTGGAGGCCTGCTTGACAGTACTGCCAGTGCACTCGGTTGATCGAGAATCACGTCATTTTCATATTTTATACTCGAAGAAAGAGTATAACTAGGTTTTAAAAAAAGTTTCTACTCTTGAGATTTCTCAAGACCGTGCAATGTCCATTCATACAGCATCGTACCTGTCCGTTTACCACTGCTCTTCATGAAACTTACAGCATAGTTCTCATCCATTGCAAAATTTTATGGACTAAATATGGCATATTCATAAAGGTATAAAACAGTATAGGATTTTCTTTACGCAGAATGCATGCACCTTGTAGACTGAAATCACAAGACGCTAATGCAACGGCTGATCAGGCTCCAATTTATTCGGGAGTTAGAAGACTTTTCTAAAACCCAATTATACGCTTTCTTCGGGTATAAAATATGAAAATTACGTGATTCTCTATAAAACGAGTGAAAGAAAGAATATTTTTGTTCATATATTTTTTATAAAATATATCTGAATTTATAAGACCATCGAAAGTAAATGTGAAAAATGCATGCTACTTAAGTAGTTATTCTTTTACCGAGTACGATTTCTACAAGAGATTGAAAAGAAATTCATTTAAAGGCCGACATCCTGTCGAGTCCGAAATACCATAGGACTATGCCACGGGCTGATCAGTATTACAACCTCACCTAAGTAATCATTCCTAACCGTAAACGCATCTCAGAATTTTGGCCAACATTTCATGAGATCGGTCACACACTGTATGCAGGGCTTCCCTGGTAGAGGCCTCCTTGACAGTACTGTCCGTGCATTTGTAGTTGGATGGTAGGAATGGAAAGTCGACTGTTGCATGCGGGAGGAAGGGGACAGTGAGGTCGGGAATACGCCCCCATAGCGCATTCCTCACAACACTAAATCTGGCGCGTTGGTATCTATCACGACGTGTTAAGAGTCTTGGCTTGGAATGCTGCCAGCTGATTGGATAACCCAATCCTCAAAGTCAGATCGGTGGAGGCACTGAAGAGCTGCGAGTTAGGCTGTCCTTGCCATTTCGTAGTGTGATGATGCCAGCATCCTTGCCTATTTGGGATCCACGTCGCCCCTACAATAGCCTGGCGTGGGAACAGATCTGTGTGGGGCACGCGTATACGGGCTGTTTAGTCCGATTTAGAAGTGTGCGCGGCAGTATGAACATTGTTGGGAGATGATTCTACTGATGCATGTCTCGAAGACCTTGTGGATAAAGCGTCTTCTTGAAGTTGGTTTCAGAGGAAGGAGGGTTTGTCACAATTCATGTCAATCATAACTCGCACACAAGTATGCTGTCATATCGACAAAGAAATCAAATATCCACATTGTTGTGATTGTGACTTTGGAGTTGCGTCAGGGGTTGCCTCGTACGCGAATACAGGCGGTTCTGATTGAAACCCTCGTCTTCTGGAAAATTTCGTTCTGCAAATTTAAATTCCCTGATCATGAGATTCCAATAGGCGAATTCTACTTAGTTCCGCAAATATTCCCATGTTACACTTAAAACTTTAAGTTGGCAAACACGTGTTTTCGGTAATTATTCGTCAGGCCAATACAGTTACATGAAGGAATGAAAGTGTACACAATTAGCAGTGTTTATAGGTGTCTCAAGGGCTATTAGGTCATTAACACTCATCCTCGCCACGCCGCCCGCATGACAAGGTCGACGGGTGTTAATCGTCAGAGCTAGGGGAGGGGGATAAGAGAGTCTTTGAGTGATGTTCTTGGATTGAGTACACGGAGTACCCACCACCGTGAGTAGGGATTTGAGGCGGCATGGCTTCATCACTTGGGGTTGGCGTTGGCCACGGCAGAGAGGGCGCTTGTGTCAGGGTTTTCTGACAGCATAACACCGGATTCGCTAGCCGTATAGCTATTGCCTCGGGCGTTGCTGTATCTCTTTGCGTACGCCTTTAGAGGAGCATGTTGGTGTCCGGTAGACAACCTGAAATGCTTTCTTGGCATCGACTCGGTGGTTTGTATCGATTAAATGCGCGAGAATAGAACTCTAAATCGACCGGGTCTCACCTCTGTCTAGCCAGGCGGGCATATGTTCACGCACCCTCTTTACCAGGCGTCTCGTTGTGCGGCCGATGTATCCTGCTCCACAGGAGCAAGCGAATGAATAAATGCACATTGATGTGGCCTCCAACGGTAGTCTGTCTTTGCCTCTCAAACGTAGGAGGGGAGAGCTTGTGAAGCATACGCGTAAATTCGCCACGGGGAATGCCCTCGTGATAGTCGTAGTTAAGCGCCGTCTGACTAGTCCGCTCGCTGTGTCTCCTGCAAAAAGGCAATCTTATGAATACCTCTTTCCTTTCNTATCATACCCACATGTGCTATCCATTTCTGCTTTTCGAAGTCCAGGACCGCAGTCTTGAACAGGTTGAGGTTTTTGCTAGTCAATTTGGAAAATAAATTCGCTCTAACGAAGGGGTGGTTCTTCTTGTTAGACAAACAACGAAACATTCGAGCAAGCGTGAATGCTAACAGTTAATTAACACTGCCTATCGGATGACCAATGTTTTAGAATAATGAGGTCGCAAATCAGGTGGTATTCTGGTGTTGATTAAGAAGATATTCCGCCTCCCAAAGCCGCAGGTACCCGGATTTACGCGGTTCTTTTCATAACCATTAGACAGATAAACTACTTGTTGACGCACTGTTGTAAAAAAAGAGAGTGCATTTAATGGTACAGCTTATGCTTGGTTCGTTGCATTTCATTCTGTGCCACGTTGTGCAAAGTCATCAGAATACTCTGAGGAACTCGTCATTTTCTCATACAACTCTTAAACACTATATGACTTCAGTTGTGAGCGGCGTACATGTTGGGAGCTACTGCGGCTTTAAGAGACTTTTGGCCCATGTGGTATCGGTACGACTGAAGCCTGACTGATGTCGAGCGCGCGCAAAGCAAGAATTACCTGTTAGTTCGCTGTACTCGGTCCTACCGTCAAATAGCTGAACTCTGTCAGGTCACTGGCGTATGCGCAAGTCTGCCTCGCTGTAATTCAGTTCACGTGCTCTCCTATCAAAGCGTAATCAGTGGGCTAGGCACGTATTTTCGACCTATTCATGAGCAGTACTTTCGGGAGGAGTGTAATGTGACCACCCCGTGTCGTTTATGTCGACACTGTTGCTACTTATTATAATTGGGTAGTTTGGATTGTTGGTCACGGGTAACTTGTGTGCGAGCAGAGAGGCAGCTGTTGCCAGACCGAATCCCCCCAACTCTTCTGGTTCACTGTCTGCTCCGAGTATAAACCAGTCTTCCCCTTGTCTACACAAATATCACCTGCCCGTAGGCTTGACTAAAAGAACTGCTGATGGTACCTTCTGAGTCGTTTGTACACTCCCCTGCTCTGGCAAAAGTTGTTCTGGTAACTGTCTCCCTGACTACTGACGAGGGCAAGTTTCATTTTCAAACCCTTTAAATCTATAGGACTTCCAAATGCTGTTTGTTGTGTCATTGGTCACGCGAGGAAAAACAGAAAGCCGGTGATTTACAGAGCAAGAAGCTGTTCTTTTAGCAGTATATCTAGCCTGATTCCTCCGCACGTTGATAAAGTGATGCGTTTTTCATTACATTTTCGAAAATGCGCCGATCGCTGCAAAACTGACTCAGCTTTTGCACGAGAGGGCAAAGAAGGCAAAGTTTTGGTGAAAACAATGTTTTACCACAGAATGTTCAGACATAACACTAAGTAATAAAAATTCCCAGACTACGACTGGCGCGCGACTATAAAATCACGACCGCGTTAGTGTCACCGGATTTAGCTTAATGTGTAGTCTCTACGTATTTCTAGAACCCCACAATTCTGCTTGTGCGACTGGTCATTTCGACTTCTCCCTGGTTATTAATACTCATAGGTTTTCTGCCAGGTCGAGTTTGAAGATTTGAGACGGTTGCAACGCCGCATCACTTGGTTGCTAATCGGCTGTTGCTTCATATTTTACGCTTTTCTCCTCAAAATGTTCCATTTTCACGGCTTTACTAGCCCGAAAATTGCAGCAGTCTAATCGAAAACGTTCAAATGGATGTTGGGTCATCCAGCTGTAGAACATACGCCGGCCTATCAACCGAGAATATTCCTGTCGAAAGCCGCTCGGATGGCCTTCATTTAGGCTTGATTTTTAACTCAGATCAAGCCTTGCATTGTCCTCATTTTAGACGTTCGTCTTTGTAACGCCTAAGCAATGAGAGTGCTCAGAGCGCTACGAATACCAGACCACAGAAGTCACCATAATGAGGGGTTCGTCGCATACGAAAACCTGAGTTGTCATCTCTGGCGGACACGGCCGCAGACGAAGCCAGGGCGTGCGTTGACTGCGTCCAGTCATGCCTGAGAGTTTTCTGAAAACAGTGGTGGCCATAATTTTTGTCGGCTTGTGAGTAACAGGCTTGAGTGGTGTCCAAATGTTGCATGTTACAATTGCTGATAGGTGATATCCCTGGTGACTTTTGTCGCATTCGCGAGGGGCGGTGCGTTCTAGCGACGAATGGACAGCTGTGGCTTTGTGGACTCACGACTTAAAGTCGGTCGGATGGCTGCAGGCCAGAGCGTTGGAAACCGTTTGCTGCGAAGGTAAATAACCTTGACGCCACGGGGTCGTGGGCAGGGGCGTCAGGCATGACCTTGGTGACTTGTAGCCACCGAAGACGTCAAGGATTTATCATACCGAGACAGCGAAGCACTGGACATAGGTCCTGGCTAAGACACTGCCGATCGGGTATACGTGGCGAGGAGTAGGCGGACGCTAGAGATTGTCAGTAACATCTTCAATGGTCTAACGGTTCACGTTCCCCTGTTATACGTTTGAAATCGTCCGATGAGAAAGTCTTCAGCCACTCCGACACACGTGCCATCAGTGTCAGGTAACAGTTTACTCATATGGGTCTGCGTGCTGTCGTAAATTCACGCGCATCTTCCATAAATATAGCGTGATTGCTGCTATTCGGTGAATTAACCCTTATTCGCTTTCTTTCTTGCTCATGTATGTATGCGCGAAAACATGAGTGAAATCAGCCCGATCCTCATTTTCCAAATTCGCTACTTTGTCCGAGGACTCCAAGCGATGTGCCTAATTTGGGTCGCTTCCTGCTGGGCTTTCGAACTTTATTGTTTTGTTTCTGTACCGAGGTACATCCATGCCAATGGCTTTATTACCTTGGAACTTGTCAGTCTTTTGCAAAACTTTAATTGCATCGCATAGACGAGAGCTGAGATTTAGATTTTCAAAATTTTCCTCGGATATCTCACCAGAGGTTGTACCCACTGCTTATATTTCGCTTTCCAAGTTTCTGCCTGAGTATGAGCTTGCATGGTCGTAAGGGTAGCTTTAACGGACTATTTTTTGCACGGTCATTGTAGCCTCCTGTCTGCTGACGTACTTACTGAAGTCTAATCAGTGTATTTGGAGTAAATTAGAGAAGCCTGTGCAAACTACATTTAAGAAAAATACAAGTCTTCATGAGGTGCAGTTAAGTTGAAAAGATCTATACATTAATTCAGCATGCGGAATGCGTGAGACTGATTGCGAAATAGGAGGTGTTAAAAAGGTGAAGACTTTGCTGAATAACGACGAACAACAAGTTGACGGCAGTTGCACCGTTTTGAAGTTATTGCAAACAAAATGGGTTAGCGAAATCGAGGCAGCAGCATGTTGATGATTATAAACAATCAAATTGTTTTTACTTACGCCCCTTGGGTGTCCTATCAATACAAGTAAAAATAAATTTTCAAGTGAAGTTTGGAGCAGGTAGACAGAACCTGTAAACTATTCAGTTCATGCTTACAGAATAAACAGTCTAATGTGAAAAATCGCCACTCATGGGAAAGTAAACATTCGAGTGGGACAAGGCCGCTATGCAGGTAAAAGTATATAAGGACTTGAAACATTCCTCGCTGAAGCGGAATTCCTAAACTGGATGATACCATTCATCGCAGATGCAATTATATTTTTTTCGAATGAGACCAGAAGCAACCATCAAGGTGGCGAGATAGGAGGAGGGGAACAAAGTTGAGCCTCAATTATCCCAGTATTTCTCCCCAACAGCCTCCACTGTTGACCTTCCGTCCATCGCGCACTTAATTATGTCATGACAAAGCTGCGTGACGGTCACCGTTAGACAGTTGTGAAACCTGAAATCCCTCATAATGGCCCAGAAACCGTCTCTACTTCACAGTGTTAAACGATTTGTTCGGACTCATAAGGGTTTTGTGAATGCTGATCGAAATTTCGTATCATTTTTCGTGCAATCGCTGAACTGTAAAAATCCCATTTATGCCTCTCGGGTTATTTTGGAATCAACATTATTTCATACCAAGATGTCATTGATTCGCTGGTAAGTTCAAGTCATTGTGCATTTCTCGGACGGATATGTTGCAGTGAAAGGTGAAAAGGAGATCTCCGAGAATTTTTGGAGATTTCACTGTACAATTAACATGTACGAAACTATTCAATTATAGTAGCCTAAGGGGTGTAGGGGTGTCAGCGGTGGGTTCACGTGATGGTCGTGGTGGTCGCTCACTTGCTTGCAGGTGAGACTACGCCTAGCGTTCACTTGCTGGCACTCAACTCTCACCTGTGGCTCCACGTAGCTGGGCTCTGCTCAGCGGCCACACCCCGGGCAACCGCCTCGGCCGGCGGGCTAAACCATGTGAGTGCGCTGTGCGCTTCTGCCGCGTACACAGTGTACTGCGGACTCCGCTGGATGGATGGTCGGATGAAACACTGCGCCGGCATCGTCGAGACGAGGCTCTGCCTGGTACGCCGTTGGATAACTGCTGCCGGGACGGGTCTCCGCATCGCCGTCGCTGAGACGCACCCACCCTTGCCGACGGAGACCGCGGACTCACGGCATATGCGGTCGTTCTCCACTACAAACATAAAAGTCGTGGCCCCATAGTGGGATTCGGTCGCGCCAACCTGACACATGGGCAGCCCGATTCAGGGGTGGCACTGCCTGCCCTTACGAGGGGAAGGGCCTAGAAAAGGTGGCCTAAAAAATGCTGGGCACCGCGCCGTCTGCAGGCTAGCCAAAGCCGCAGATGTCATCAACACGGTCGAGACAATCAAAATCAAAATAACAACAATACCAATAACAACAACAACAACAACAACAACCGTACTCATTCTCCTCATCCTAACCCTTCTTCCTCTTCCTCCGTCTATTCTTCTGCCTATTCTTCTCCTTTGTCATCTTCTTCTCCACCTCCTTCCCGCCGCCCCACTCGCTGTCCCCAGACTGGCAGGGTGAGCCCGCTCACTCTGGCAGCCTGGAATGTTCGTTCCCTTTTAGACAATCCGAGGAGCAACCGACGGGAGCGGAGGACGGCTCTAGTGGCACAAGAACTGGCGCGCTACAAGGTGGACATCGCCGCACTCAGCGAGACCCGATTCTCCGAACAAGGCCAACTGGAGGAAGTGGGTGCCGGCTACACCTTCTTCATGAGTGGTCGACCCAAGGCAGAGCGACGAGATGCGAGTGTCGCCTTCGCCATCCGGAACGACATCGTGGGACGAGTGCCCAGTCTGCCGCAGGGCATCAACGATCGCCTGATGAGCCTCCGCCTGCCTCTCCGGGGTGGGGGCAAATTCTCCACCATCATCAGCGCCTACGCTCCGACGATGACCAACCCGACGCCGTCAGAGACAAATTCTACGAGGATCTGCACGCCCTCTTGACAACTGTGTCGAAGGCGGACAAGTTGATTGTCCTTGGTGACCTCAACGCCCGCGTCGGCACAGACCATACTGCCTGGAGAGGAGTGCTGGGTCCCCACGGTCTCCGCGGCTACAACGACAATGGTCTACTGCTTCTCCGCACCTGCGCAGAACACCGCCTCATCCTGACGAACACGTTCTTCTGTCTGCCGGGCCACCTGGAGGCATCCTCGGTCGCGCCAGTGGCACCTGCTTGACTATGCCCTCGTCCGGAGGCGAGATCAGCGAGACGTGCTGGTGACGAAGGCGATCGCGGATGCTGATGGGTGAACCGACCATCGCCTCGTCATCTCGAAGATGCGTATACTTCTACAGCCTCGCAGGAGACCACAAGGTAAGCGACCCCCAGGTAAGCTGAATGTTGCCTCCTCACCATCTTCATTTCAGCAATAAGCCAGCTCAACGGCTAGACAACCTTCCAATCGCTGCCGACGCCGCCGACGCCGCCGCCGCCGAGAACGCCTCCGTGGAGAAACGCTGGTGTCAACTGCGAGACACGGTCCAGTCGACGGCGCTCGCCGTCCTCGGTCGCGCTCCCCGCCAACACCAGGACTGGTTCGACGACAACGACGCCGCCATCAGAAATATGCTTGCCGAGAAGAACCGCCTACACAAAGCCTACGCAGATCACCCCACTGAGGATAACAAAGCTGCTTTCTACCGCAGTCGCCGCCAGCTTCAGCAACGACTGCGCGAGGTGCAGGACGCCCGGACTGCTCGCAAAGCTGAGGAGATCCAAGGGTACGCAGACCGCAACGAATGGAAGAACTTCTTCCCTGCGATCAAAGCTGTCTACGGTCCGCCGACGAAGGGCACTGCTCCTCTCCACAGCGCCGACGGCAACACTCTCCTGACTGAGAAGACGCAAATCCTACAGCGATGGGCCGAGCATTTCCGAAGCGTCCTCAACCGCCCCTCTGCCATCTCCGACGCCGCCATCGAGCGTTTGCCGCAAGTGGAGACCAACGAGGACCTCGACCTCCCGCCATCTCTCCAGGAAACCACCAGGGCCGTGCAGCAGCTCTCCAGCGGGAAAGCACCCGAATCGGACGCAATCCCAGCTGGGGTCTACAAGCACGGAGGTACACAACTCATGGATCACCTGACTGTGCTCTTCCAAGAGATGTGGCGTCAAGGTGAAGTCCCGCAAGATTTCAAAGACGCAGCCATCGTGCATCTCTACAAGCGCGAAGGGAATCGTCAAGTCGGCGACAATCACCGCGGCATCTCCCTGCTGAACATCGCCGGGAAGATCTTCGACCGCATCCTTCTAAACCGCCTCAATAGCCATCTGGAACAGGGCCTTCTGCCGGAAAGCCAATGCATTTTCCGTCGTCATCGTGGGACCGCGGATATGATCTTCGCCGCCCGTCAACTTCATGAGAAGTGTCAGGAGATGCGGACCCACCTGTACTCTACCTTCGTGGACCTGACGAAAGCCTTCGACACGGTGAATCGTGAAGGACTGTGGAAGATCATGCAGAAATTCGGCTGTCCGGAGCGATTCACTCAGATGGTGCGTCAGCTGCACGACGGTATGATGGCGCGAGTCACGGACAACGGAGCTGTCTCAGAGGCATTCGCAGTGACCAACGGAGTGAAGCAGGGCTGCGTACTGGCGCCTACCCTCTTCAGCCTTATGTTCTCTGCCATGCTGATGGACGCCTACCGCGACGAACGCCCCGGGATCCGCATCGCCCACAGGACGGACGGTCACCTCCTGAATCAACGACGGATGCACTTCCAATCGCGCGTATCCACAACCACCGTTCACGAACTCCTCTTCGCCGACGACTGCGCCCTAAACACCACCTCGGAAAAGGAGATGCATCGGAGCATGGACCTATTCTCCGCCGCCTGCGATAACTTCGGTCTGGCCATTAACACGCAGAAGACGGTGGTGATGCACCAACCGCCATCCCACTCAGTCACAGTCCCCAACGCGTGGCCGCAAATCAGCTTGAACGGAACCCAACCGCAAATGGTGGAGAACTTCCCGTACCTGGGCAGTACTCTCTCCCGCAACACCAAGATCGACGACGAAGTCGCCAACAGGATCTCGAAAGCCAGTCAAGCCTTCGGTCGCCTCCAAAGCACAGTTTGGAATCGCCACGGTCTTCAGCTGAGCAGGAAGCTGAAGATGTACAAGGCCGTCATTCTGCCGACACTACTGCATGGAGCGGAGACTTGGACGGTGTACGCGAAGCAGACACGCAGTCTGAACCACTTCCACCTCAGTTGTCTTCGTCGCATCCTGAGGCTGAACTGGCAGGACCGAATCCCTGACACTGATGTGCTGGAACGGACGGGAATCCTCAGCATCTACGCCATACTGGGGCAAATTCAGCTGCGCTGGAGCGGCCACCTGGTGCGCATGGATGACGAGCGACTACCCAAAAGACTCTTCTACGGAGAAGTTTCGACGGGTTATCGCCGTCAAGGAGGCCAGATTCGCCGTTACAAGGATACCCTGAAGTCCTCCCTGAAACGCCTGCAAATCAACCCCATCGACTGGGAGGAGCTCGCACTCGATCGACCGACCTGGAGGAGGACAGTGAAGACAGGCGCTGCGATCTACGAAGTCAACCGCATCGCTGCCGCCAAAGCGAAACGCGAAGCCCGCAAATCACAACTTCGCCCAGTGCGCAACGCCGCCGCACCACCGCTTCCAACGTGTCCTCGATGTCAACGGACATTCCGGGCTTGAATCAGACTTGTTGGACATCTTCGGATTAACTGCGCCTCTCGAACTGCACTAACCATCGTCCCCCCGTCCTCCTCTTCCTCCTTCTCTCCGCCGCCAACTAACTCTGACAATTCTTTTGACCCACCACTTCCATCCTCCTCCTCCTCCTCTCCCTACTCCTCCTCCACTGCTCCAACGGCGGCCGCTCAGGCGACTGTCACGCGCGCAACAACCGACACCACCACCTCCCCCGACTCCAGCGATGAGAATCAGGACTACACCTGCCCTCACTGCGACCGCACCTTCACCTCACACATCGGCCTGGTCGGTCACTTGCGAATCCATCGCACAGAGACTGGCGAACCAGTGCCTGGAGCACCAACCTACACCCACCGCACTCGCCTTCCCTACCCACACTCCCCTCGCACCTTCAGGCATCGCATCGGCCTATTCGGCCACATGCGCATCCACGAGAGCGGAACTGACCGCAACTCCGACACACTCACGACACCCAGCACATCCACCAGGCCCAGTCTTACCCTCGCTCCATTGCCCTGCGCGCCCATCACCACCATCACTGCCTCCTCCGTTGCTGACACTGACGCCGCCGACATCACATGCCCACACTGTTCACGCACATTCACCTCACGCATCGGCCTGGTCGGTCACTTGCGAATCCATCGCACAGAGACTGGCGAACCAGTTCCTGGAGCACCAACCTATACCCACCGCGCTCGACCCAACTGCCCACATTGCCTTCGCACCTCCAGGCATCGCATGGGCCTATTCGGCCACATGCGCATCCACGAGAGCGGCACTGACCGCACTCCCGACACACCCACCACATCCAACACATCCACCGTGCACACCCCCACCCTCGCTCCATCCGTCTGCGCCACCACCACCACCGCCTCCTCTTTAGCTGACACTGACATCGCCGACTTCTCATGCCCACACTGTTCACGCACATTCACCTCACGCATCGGCCTGGTCGGTCACTTGCGAATCCATCGCACGGAGACTGGCGAACCAGTGCCTTAAGCACCAACCTATACTCACCACTCTCGACTCAACTGCCCACACTGCCCTCGCACCTTCAGGCATCGCATGGGCCTATTCGGCCACATGCGCATCCACGACGACCTGCGGTAGACAACCGCCGGCCACACCACACATTCACTCTCTCCCTATCTCCCATCACCACCGCCCCACTAGACATCAACACTCACACACCTCATGCACCCAACTGTAACCCCCCACGCAAGTGGGAAGTGTGCATCTCGACTCGGTCCCCATGCGGCCTCGGCTGCACGGGTGACTTGAGTCCGAGACTATCCCGACACGTCAAGCGTCGTGGATAGGAAGGTTGCTGGTTGACGCCTGCTCTCGGTTCACGCAGTTCGTCCCGTTGTGTGTGTGTGCTGCGTGGAGTGGCGAACTGGTGGGCTCTGGACGGGCTGAAACAGCACCTTCCCCGGCCCTCTCACGCAAGTGAGAGATAAGCCGCTCAACCCCCGTTGTGTGAAATCCTGGTGTTGTGTGTATGGGGGGGCAGGTCGTGCCGTGGCGCGCGCAGTCATGGTCAGTCGACCATGACAGCCACCGCGCCCATTTCCCACTCCAGTCTGCTGACCGGCTCAGACAGCGGCTGGAGTGTTGGGGTGGGAAGGAAGAGTGAGGTCGACGACTCAGCGCACTTTCTCCTCACTATAAACAATCTGACGCGCTTGAAGCTATCACGGTGCGCAAAAAACCGTTGCTTGGAAGGTTGCCAACTGACAGGGTATCTTGGACCACCTCCTTGACGGGAGGCGGTCTGAGAGTCAGGCTGCAATGGCTCCTTGTTAATGTGGCCTTTATGGCACTCCCACCACAGTGTGGGATCCGAGCCAGGCGTTGGCGGCACGCCTAGGTGCGGCTTCGGTCGTGCCAGCCTCCAATCTCTGTTGTGCCGGTTAAAATCCTGGTTATTTATTGTGTGGTCCAGGGGGTGTGGTGGAGCACCAAGGCGAGGATCCGTCCGAGCCATCCACCTGCGGCCTCCCTCGTCTCCGGTCTTCTTGACTCTGTCTTGACACCGGGCTCAGGCGGGGGAGGAGGAGAGAGTGTAGGTAGATGCAGCGCAAGTCTACTGGCACTATAAACCCCTGCGCAAGTCACCGTCTTTACTCCCATAATGCTGTGGGGCATACGGTGGACATCATCGAAATCGATGTTCGAACTGTCATAGTAGCCTAAAAGCGCTTATTAGTTCTACTTATCACCACAGGCCTCA